GAGGTCTATCAATTTTTTTTAGACATTAGTTAGTTTAAAACTTTTATACATTTTCTTTGATCTTGTTACTACTTCACTATCATTTTGTTTTTAATGTTTTTTTGATGAAAAAACTTTGATGTTTTCCTTCGAGTTGACGCAGAAAGACCAGGGTCATCAACTTCTGTATTTTACGAGAGATACGAGGCGTGTCCTTGATTACCTTTTCGTCTTTAAAGAGAAGTGAATTTTTAGGCTAAAAGTTCGATACCGAGATGTTTACCGTTAAACGGATAAGTACCGGAAAGGAATGTAGATGTCGTACGAATTCGCATAATCGGGAAGATATTAGTAAAATGGCGATGGTAAAATACCGTAATACCGCGCCAAGTGTAACGAGCGGAACCATTAAAATGTTTAAACAGAATTAATGGTGCCACCATAGAAGGCATCGTTTCTCGGCCAATTAAGGTTAACGAACAACGAATTAGTTTTACGATGCTTAAAATTGTCCATTTTTATTCTTGTTACGTGATAATGCATTCTTTGAAGTATAATGCATCATATTGGCATTAAAATTAATTTTTGAATAATTTAAATATTTTCTAATATTAAAGAATTCGAATACGCTCTGAATTTTACAGAGTCAGAAAATAAGACTATTCTGCTGATAATGAAATTCTATCGAAGCTCAAATTTCAGGAGATGTCTGCAAATTTATCAGCACTCAAATACAGCGAGAGAGAATTAATTACAATTAAATATAAATTATTACAATTCTTTATTAGAATTTGACCTTTGAATTTCTAGAGTAGATAATTTCAGCTAGCAATAACAATATTAACAAGGAAATAATTCAGCCGTTCTCTCATTGAAAGATGTTATTAAAAATAACAACTGCAATAAGCCAGTAATAAACACTGTAAGACTTGTAAAGTAATTCATTTTATAAACAGGCCGTAGAGAATCAGGTTGTTATTAATACTATTAAATTAACTATGTACGTGTTCTTTCGATGTATCTCGATGCATTGACGATTATCTGGGTCAGGGTCGACATCTGCTTATCCTGCTCGCTCAGTACGTTCAGGTTTTGTCAGCAGTGTTCCATATACCGGGTGTGTAGTCTGATACAAAGATTGTAATTTAAAAATTATCATTTAAATAACTGCGACAATTCTTACTACGTTGCATTATAAAAAATTGAATGGAGGAATAAGGCAATTGGATCATGCGTCGAATTACCACGCGTAGAATTACCATGCGTCGAATTACTACGCGTGGAGTCACCACGCGTGGAGTCACTACGCGCTGAATTACCACGCGTCGAATTACCACGCGTAGAGTCACCACACGTCGAATTACCACGCGTAGGATTACCACACGTCGAATTACCACGCGTGGAGTCACCACGCGTCGAATTACCACGCGTAGAATTACCTCGCGTCGAATTGCAATGCGCCGAATTACCACGTATCGAATTACTACGCATGGAGTCACCACGCGTAGAATTACCACGCGTCGAATTACCACGCGTGGAATTACCACGCGTCGAATTACCACGCGTCGAATTACCACGCGTCGAATTACCACGCGTCGAATTACCACGCGTCGAATTACCACGCGTCGAATTACCACGCGTCGAATTACCACGCGTCGAATTACCACGCGTCGAATTACCACGCGTCGAATTACCACGCGTCGAATTACCACGCGTCGAATTACCACGCGTCGAATTACCACGCGTCGAATTACCACGCGTCGAATTACCACGCGTCGAATTACCACGCGTCGAATTACCACGCGTCGAATTACCACGCGTCGAATTACCACGCGTCGAATTACCACGCGTCGAATTACCACGCGTCGAATTACCACGCGTCGAATTACCACGCGTCGAATTACCACGCGTCGAATTACCACGCGTCGAATTACCACGCGTCGAATTACCACGCGTCGAATTACCACGCGTCGAATTACCACGCGTCGAATTACCACGCGTCGAATTACCACGCGTCGAATTACCACGCGTCGAATTACCACGCGTCGAATTACCACGCGTCGAATTACCACGCGTAGAATTACCACGCGTCAAATTACCACGCGTGGAGTCACCACGCATCGAATTATTACGCGTCGAATTACCACGCGCCAATTTACCATGCGTGCAGTCACCACGCGTCGAAATACCATGCGTGGAATCACCACGCGTCGAATTACCACGCGTGGAATCACCACGCGTCGAATTACAATGCGCCGAATTACCACGTATCGAATTACCACGCGTGGAGTCACCACGCGTGGAATTACTCGAATATGTCTGTTATCAGAATTGAAAGAAAATATTCGACCTTCAGTTTTCATTCAAATAATTCGAATCTAAAATTAAACATGGGAACTCTTGTACGGACTTTCACATCGTTCTCATTGAATCTAACTGGATCAAAGGAAATCGTTTCACTTTTGATCAAGAAGACAATTATAAATCCATCAACCTCAGATATAAATGTACCCGTATAATTTCACTGTAGTGTTCTATTTAATACTTCCTGGTGTTCTAAATGTTCTTTTAAACATTTCAAGTCAATTCTGTTATCGATACTATAATTACAATCTGGTACATAAAATTTATTAAAGGAGTTTCTATCGGAAAATTATGTGTAAAGTATCCTTGTAAAACCTCGATTATTATCGGTCCGCTTTCAATGATACACCGCGGTTTCTCGACCTTTCCTATTATTCATTTTCTCTTTCGCGTTTCCTGCTTTTCACCAACGCGGATATCTTGGATCCGTCGATCGATCTCTCGAGAAAACGGGTTTCCTTGCACGCGATCCAGAATCGACCGAAGAATGCGGAGAACACAGTCGAACTCTTATCATTGGCGTAGCTAGCGCCTTTTTTGCGAAACGAGGAATTATTGGGCGGTAGATTACTATAAGCTCGATTAATGCACGTTGGATTTTCACAAGCTTCGTTACTACCCCTTGGAGTGTCACAAGTTTGATTAGTGTGCGTTGGATTACTATAAGCTTCATTACGGCGCGTTAGATTACTATAAGCTTGATTACGGCACGTTAAATTACTATAAGCTTGATTACGACACGCTGGATTACTACAAGTTTGGTTATGGCGCGTGAGATTACCATGCTTCAAATTACTACGAGTGGAATTACCACGCGTCGAATTACTACACGTGGAACTACCACGCGTAGAATTACCACGCGTCGAATTACCACGCGTAGAATTACCATGGGTCGAATTACCACGCGTGGAGTCACTACGCGTCGAATTACCACGCGTGGAGTCTCCACGCATCGAATTACAATGCGCCGAATTACCACGCGTGGAGTCACCACGTTTCGAATTACTATGCGCTGAAGTACCACGCGTGGAGTCACCACGTTTCGAATTACTATGCGCTGAATTACCACGTATCGAATTACCACGCGTGGAGTCTCCACGCATCGAATTACAATGCGCCGAATTACCACGCGTGGAGTCACCACGCATCGAATTACTATGCGCTGAAGTACCGCGTATCGAATTACCACGCGTGGAGTCACCACGTATCGAATTACTGTGCGCTGAATTACCACGTATCGAATTACCACGCGTCGAATTACCACGTGCCAAATCAGTGCATCACATGTCACATCTCAATTCATCAATTTGCAACTCAATTCATAAAGTTTCATCCGCACACCTCAAAGTACAATACAACACATTATATCTCCGTATAAACATATCTCATAAATGTCAATTTATGTTTGATTTTCTGTACATTTTGAACCGGTCCAAGTTGACCCTACGCCAATGGCTCCTCTTTCCTCTCCGTTCGTTTTACCGAACCAACGAACCTCGGTGAAATGAGGAAATTAATAATCCTCGAACGACCTACGACCGACTTATTCCGCCATTCTTGCGGGTTGCATCCGCCTGGCTGGTTTCATAGATTCAACTCGTTCCATATGTAAACGTCAGCAAACGATACCTGACCGTTTACGAGCTAATGTGATTTGCACCATTAACATGATTTATGGTATCACGTAGATATACCGTGTTACTTGTTCTGTCGCTTGTAAAATTGTTGAAACATTCCTCAAATCGATTGCACTTGATAATCTAGAGATTATTCGCTATTTTTACTTGAGAAATTATCGAGATGGAAAAGTTGAGTGCCACGAAATTTGATTGGGATTTTTGATAGAAAATTCTTTTAATTTGGGGTTTTGTGTAAAAATTGTTTTAATGAAAAATTTTTGAATTTCGACGACGAGAGCTTTTAACCTCTCACTCATGAGCCCCGGTTTGGGTCATTTGTAAAGGAAAATCGATACTATTTGCGCCACACGATTTGCGTTACCGTGACGCTTGTAATGTCGTGAAAGTCTGGATTTCTATCCTCGTCCGGTTGCCATTATAGCTTCTCCAGCTGGCATATATTTAGTAAATTGCGATTTCTTTGGTCTGTAACGCAATTTTTCCGCTGTGCCGTTGCCGGAATGATATTGCAATAACGTAACCCTCAATTTGCCATAATTTGCTAAGTAATAAGCGGCTGTTCAATGATAAAACACCATACGACTTCGGCCATTTTTATGGCTACCTTCTAATAATATTACGTTTCGTCAACTATTTTAAGATGAGACTCTTACCTTCGGGCGTAATACTCCACCTTCTTATCTTTTATTGTCATTTTTTGTTATTAAACAAAATGGGCCTCTTTAAAATCAATTATGACAGAACATTTTGTCAAATGAATTGTAGAAAGACATTTTGACTAGACATTTTGACAAATAAATTGTGACAAAACATTTAAACAAGACATTCTAACAAATAAATAGTGACAAAGCAATCTGTCAAATTAAATGTGTCAAAACATTTTGACAAATAAGAAAAAATTTCCCATTAAAAGAAAATGTCTATAAGAAGCGTGTAACTAAAGAACGTGTCTTTAAAAAGAGATGAATGAGCGATTAAGTAATTTTCGTAGAGATAAAAGAAGTGTTACGATTGCAGGTCGACCAGAAGCCGTCGCACAAGCCGAACCACCACGAGAATCACGTCTCGCAGATCACAAAGACGATTCAGTCGCAGACGAACCACAGCACACCGAATCACGTACAATCTCATGGTCAATCTAATCACGTCGTATCGAATCACGACAACCACGTGTCCGTGAATCGTGTGCCGAACCACGTGTCGGCAACGAACCAGACGAACCATCAGAAAAACCAGCTGAACCAACGGCTCAGCCCGACCCAAGAATGGAGGCAACCGGAAGACAACGGCAGAGTGCAAGAAGATGGCATCTACGAGAGCGGACCGGTGGTCAACGATGGAAAACACTCTCTGCTGCAATATGCCATGCTGAACTTCAGGCAGAGCACTGAAAAGTTTGTATCTTATCTTTATAATAGAATTAGATGCTTAATTTACTGCAAACTTAATTTTAAGTTATTTTGAGAAACTACAAATTTAGGAATGTGAACTCTGCAAGGGATTGCACTATGAATTACCAAGCGTGGAGTTACCACGCGTCGAATTACCGCGTGTGGGGTCACCACGCATTGAATTATGACGCGTAGAATTACCACGCGTGGAGTCACCACGCATCGAATTACCACGCGTGGAGTC